GAGTAGTAACATATAGCCACAGTATATATGTAAAAAGCCAAGCGGCTCGGAGGGTTGTATTAGAAGAATCCTTTTTGCCTTCTCGATGTTTGTTTTTAATTCGAATAATTTGATCCAAGTGCGAGAGAGAGAGAGAGAGCATTACAATGAGAGAAGAAAAGCATCAAAGAATGTGAATCGAATAAACAGACATATGCCAAGGCATGCAGCATGTGCCTGTAACAGGGTGCCAGAAGAAAAAAGAACTGGTCCAGTTTTTCCTTTTGTTTATTTTTATTGTTTCCCTTTCCAGAAGCTTAAAATTGAGCTAGATGGGTGTAGGCGCAGAGAAGACTCTCACCCACACCCACCCATCCACCTGCCTACAGCTTCACCCTTCACCCGCTCATCCATCTGCCTACAGCCTCACCCTTCACCCACCCATCCATACCTACCTCACACCCACCCAGTGATATACCTACTAGGTAGAGCGAGTGGACGACGCCTACCTGAAATTTTGATCCGCCCACCCGAAAATATACAGTTGATTTCATGAAAAAAGTAGATGTTTTCTCTCTCACTTTCACTCTCATAGGGTTGGGTATGAGTGTAGGTGTGGCTGTAAGTATGAGGGGTGTCGAGTGTGGGTGAATGTGGGTGCGAGTAGGGAAGTAAAGAAGATTCTAAGTCACATCAACACCCTCACCCATACCTTTACCAACCGACCGACTATGTGTATCATTCTTGCCTCATTCCACTTTTATTGGAATTTTCGTCTCCAGCATAAAAGATCAATTATTCACGGATTTGTGCGAAAAACAACGGTTTATTGAGTTTTGTACAATATACATAATTTTCGTACATAATAACAACAGATCTTTTAAAATAATTTGTCCTTTTCGATATTGTTCTTCTGTTTCGGTAAAACAAATATCATTTACATTAATAAATTCAGATGATTTGAAAATTGCTGATTAAGATACTGTAGAAATAATGCTAATGTTTTCCCATAAGACAGCCCAAAAAATCGTATTAACAACATAAACTTCTGATGTACTTGTATGGAAGTTAGATGCATGTTTGTTACTTAATGTTGCATATATAGATGTTAAACATTGAATAATTGGAAGATCATAATGAAAAAACTTTTTATTAGATTTATAATGTTCATATGTAACTGGACTACATACAAGTATTTGAATTGGAAGATGTCGTTCAGTATCAATTCGATTCAGGAATTGATCTAAAGTGTCATTTTCAATATTGATACCATTAAAAGACATGATCCGATCATAGGATTTTAGTCCTGCTCGATGAGCTAAATTCGATGGTAAATCATCAGTTAGTTTGATGTAATAAAATTGTTGGTGTACAAAATAACGGAATTTAACACCTATTTCCTGTTGTGGTATGGCACGTTGTATCGCACAAATTCGAATGTCATCGTTGATGTACGTTAAACTGATAGTTTCATCAATAGTAGCAAAAGAATCTACATTAAATAAAATGATTTAATAAAGAAAAACGTCTAATATTTGTAAATACAATAGCACTACTATTAAAACTTCATACTAGTTTAATCCAGAACTAATTAATATATTGGTAAAATATCCTATTATTGAAATGATGAATATTTTAAAAGTTTTATTCATTGTTGAAAATATAACAAAAATTAAACTCTCAGCTTTTTTCCTTGTTACTTAATATATTTCACCATGAAAATAAATCAAACGAAAAATTGCCTTTTTCTTACTATAATGTTCTGCAATCCATTTTTGAAATATTTTTGGTGATTCAATTGCCGATCCAGACATTTGTTTAATTTCATCTCGATTATTGAAATATTCAATCATGCGACCAAAATTTTTTATATCGATCATCGACTTTTGTCGATTAGCTTTTAGATCAGCAAGTTTGTTAACAGGAACAAGCATATAATACCATACTCGTATTCTTTTTTCTTTCCGACGAATTTCATACACCGGTTCGTTGAACATTTGTTCGGTTATAATTGCTTTAGGCCAATCATCATAGCCTGTAAGTAACTTTTACAAGAATATAATTAAAATAAATTAAAATCTTTAATTGATTAATGATAAAAATCAAATGTTTTTTGTTTTCAAATTTGATATGTTTGAAAGAAATATGCAATAAACGGATGTTTCCTAAAAATTCTATTCATTGGATTTTTATCTAATTTAGAATTTGTCGATTCATATTTTTTGACAAGAATTTTACCTGTAATTTTTGGTATAATTTTGCCATTGTATAAAATAAAAAACAATTGTGTCTAAAAGTATCAAAATGGTTAATGCCAAGTAAATGAAGATTCTTCTACGAATTTTATTAAAAATTATCTTTGTTATGATTAATCAAATGATGAATAAGAAATATTCGATGGAATTAGCATTCATGGTTCAGTTTCTACTAGGAAGTCAGATGAGACACAGTTTGTGCCAAAATTTTAAGACTTAATACCGAATTTTTAGTCCCTTCCGCTTTTCAAAACAGTCATAGGAAACTAACACATTAAAATATTTCGTTTTCTTTGCCATTTAACTCATCTTGCACAGACAAAAGGAATATCTGAAAAACCGTGTTTTAACAGTGTCATTTTTCTTACACATCAACCTCGTTATGATAGTGTTGAGAAAAACATTTTAACGCATTTTCTATGTAAACGCATCATAATTCGTAAATTCGGACATTGTTGACTGTATGAAATTGGAGAGCGTTTTAATACATTATACATATGAATAGTTCGCTGCATTGATAAAGACAACGCATTAAAACTAATGAAGAATGGCAACAAATCACATACCTTGATATTACAATCAATAGTAAAATACAATGTTTACTAATAAATAACTGTCGAGTGGAATTTTTTGAATATTTTATTTTATTTTTTTCGAAATAGCGAAAAAGTCATGTAAAACAAGAAAAAGATAATTCCACTGTTGAGACTCTTATCCATTCTAAATTTAAAGTATTATTCGTTCCTTCTTCATTACAAAAATATTTTTTCACTATTTGGAAGATAAAATATAATGTTAAAAAAAATTTCATTCGAAAGTTGTTACTCGATTATTTACATTTACATGGCAATGAATTTATTATTCAGAAAGGATTAAAACTACACAACTATTCTATGCTCTTGAATCTCTGATTTTCTATGAATTGATGCTGCGTAGAGACTATTATTCATTACCAAACATTGCATTTTGCTATTGATTATAACATTTGAGATATATGAGTCGTAGTCATCTCTCGCTAGTTCTACGCACAATTTTAGAAACATTTTTTGAAAGGAAACGTTGAAATTTAAAAAAAGCGAAGTTACGTTACAGAACATTTAGCTACTTTCGAACAGTGAAAACTACAGCTCTCTATCTTATTCTCATCCAAAGTTATTTGCAACTGAAGACTGACTGACGGGTGACTTTTGGACCACCCTGTACATTCCTATAGCGCAGAAGGAGGACATAGTGGTCTTCGTGAGGGGTGGTTTTGTGGTGGAATAAATGTGTCACGCTACGAATTATCATTGTAACGGCATCATGATCATATCATTCTAGATTCTTTCTTGTTTTCTTGATAGATAAACTTTTCAGTATTCCGTTCCACTATCATATTGTCTCGAAAGTCGAACTTTGACTCGTCGTAAATGTTATGAATATGCAACAGAGTGAATGTACTATTGAAAGAATCATAACTATATGCTTTTGCCATTGTGTTTACAATAGTTGATATCCACCAAGCCTGTTGAACAATTGATATTTTTCGTCGATTTAATCCGAATCTCTTAACATGCAAACGATTCGGTAGTAATAATAAATTTGAAAAAAGACAGGTAATTTATTCTGCTTGAAAATCCAACATAAGAAAAGGCTCTTGTAGGTGAAACAAGAAAGCCTCAAATCAAACATGCAAGAGGCTTAACATGATATTTCATTTGTTTCTAAGCGAAAATCCTGCATGACATACAATATATTAGACAATGACCCATTTTGGTTTTAAGATAAACTCTGTGGCACAAGATGGTTGCTAATCATAGTTATGCTACAGACCATGTGACTACTATCTCTTAGACTTATGAAGTCAAAAACTTTCAAAAGACAGATAAAAGTAGAAAGCATTTTTTTTTAGCTTGAATTAGTTTTCTCAACTCACTAGAAAAACTTCAAGCCTTTTCAGGGCGAAGGTACATCGGCAGAACCGATATGTTCTCTCTAATAGGCTGCACGTTGAAACCTACTCAAATCAATTGATAAACTTTGCAAATTATGAATCCATTGGATTGAATACTCATTTACATAATTTTTTATTTCATCTTTAATAATAAAATACTCTAAACGAATACATCATTTTTTTCTTCGTATTTCTCTCTTTGACATCATCTAATAATGAGTCATTATTAATGACTCATGACCGACGAAAAATTAATATTGCACAGTACTTACGACATTACTGTGAACATAAGTAATATTTAAAGTGCATCGCAAAACAGAAAAAAAACAGATTCTTCGTAAGTAGACATACTGTTTTTCGCATGAGCTTTTCGAATGTTTTCATTTCAGCAATAAATAGGCTACTATTCGTCGAAAACTTAGAATTTTGTTTTTTTCAGTAACATGACCGAATGGTATTCGAAACTAAAATCTAACTTCAGATCTTATTGAAATAAATGTATATTCTGTTTCTTTACTCTTTTTTAATGAGTCATCTAGTGTAAGAAAAAAAAAAGAATTCTTAATAAACCCTGCAACATCAAGGATCACAAAATTCTACTCAATTGAACTGAATAGATACACTGATCATAGCAAGGAAACAACAGAGATTTAGCTTTTTCGAATAAATTTTCGGCTCTTCGATTTTAAAAGGTGTTTTTTTACTTTGTGACTTAGAAGAGAGCGCCTAAACTGTAACTAACATATAGACACCCTACTCTTGTGCTTAGTTACAGATTCTAATCATACTAGCGCCCACTCTCATTACGATTAGAGCAACTCTTCTGCATTTAATATTTCATCCTGCAAGTATTTTGTAGAACGCTTCATCTTGTGTACGATTGATTACGATCACTAAGTGTCATGGCATCTGCTGAAACAATATTGGAAATTCCATCCTCGTTCGTTTATGAAAATTTGGTCGATCAAGTTCGATTGATTCAAAATGAAATTGTCAAAATGATCAATGTACTCAACAATCGGATGAACAATGAAAAACAACAGCAAAATGAATTGAAACATCGTTCATTTACATTCATCGATCCATATGATCATGAAATGACAATTGAATTTATGAATCATGAATATATTCATCATGTCATCAAAAAATACAAACGAGATTATATACCAAAATATTTACATCATTGGATTCAATTTGGTACTCGAAATCAAAATACTATCGAAACAATCACTGATTGTCAGTTGCAATCGACTGTATCCGATTATACAGGTACTCGAACATTTATTACCTATGGTGAACTGATTGTATGGTTTGGCAATTATGAGAATTCAGTACCTGAAAAACTCGTATTGAAAGTTTCATTAATGGATAATATGGAAAAGATCAAGACAGAAATTAGTAAACGGCGATGTTTTACAAATATTGAATTGAAGACTATTATTAACAATGAAGATATCAAACCGAATCTTTTCAATTGGCAGGCAGCTAGACCACTTCAATCGATCGATACGATTATTTCAAGTGTACTTTATGAAAAAAATCGTGTTGTATTGGCTAAACTTATTATCGAAGAAGTAAAATTGCACTTTCTATATTCTTTGTTTTTTTTTGGACTTGATAAAATTTACTCTGACTTTGTAGACTGCAAGTAATAGTACAACATCTGGTTTTCAAATATTTGTTAGTACATTAACTGGAAAAAAGGTCAGTTTAACTGTCAATTCTTCGATGACAATTGAGACTTTGAAAGAATTAATACAAAATATGGAAGGTTTTCCTCCTGATCATCAACGATTGTTATTTGCTGGTAAACAATTAGAAGATAAAAGAAAAATCGGCGATTATAATATACAAAGAGAAGCAACTCTACATCTTGTACTAAGTTTGAGAGGTGGGATGTATCATTTTACAAGTGGACGACAAGATTTCGATAATTTGCCTTATAATGGTGCCGAAGCAGTAAAAGACATTTTGGCATTCGATCTTAAACAGATGGAAAATACGGATAACTTATCATTAGTTGAACTACAAGATTCTCTTTTACAAGCACAATCGATTCTATCAAATTTATACCACTCACTTCGAGAGATTTATACACCACAAAATCTTCCCGATTTGAAACAAATCATTTCGCTTCCGAATATTGACAATAATTTGGATAATATCGATAACACGGAATGTGAAGAAATATCAAACAAAGAATGATTATCATCTATTCGAAACATATTAAAAGAATATGAACAAAGAAGAAGAAGAAAAAATGAGACTGTTTGGACACTCTCTCTAATCGATCGACTCAGAGAGAACTCTATACATACCCAATCGATCCTTGTATTTTTATTCAAATAGAAAGACCTTTCAATAAATAAACTTTTTCAACTGCATTCTGATAGAAGTATTGCTGTGCAAGCGGAATCAATCGGTACTAAAAAATCGTTTCTTTTCAGTTAGAAAAGCATTTCAAAAGGTTATTGGATTTTGTGTAACTCACTATAAAAAGACAGTGAACATAATTTTGTATCCGAAAATCGTCTGCTTACTTCGTATAGTTGACGCTACTTGAAAGTGGATTCTCTAGCCATGAATTTTTGGTTTTGATAGTTTCAGATTCGCTCTCTGTGATAGGGTTTTAGATTATAAAATTTGCTTTTTAGGGCTCAGGCAAATAAGTTTTTCCATCTCTCGTGATACAATATTGATTGATGTAGTATTCTGATATGAAATGCACATGTTAGTCTCATCGGGGTTGCGCTGGAAAGTTTCCTTCGTAAAAATACAGAAATCTTATAGAATTATTCTCAGAACTGCAAAACAAATTTTTCATACAAAAAAAAAATCTCTCTCTAAATAGAGAATAGATCAAATATATCCTTGATGTTCTCTTTGTCTACGTGTTCGTTTTTATTCTTCAGTTTTCTCTATACCATTATTAGTTATTTCATTTTATTCATCATCAACCACCATTACACTCTCAAAATACTTCATATTTTTATTTAGAATTATCATGAAACTCAATATATTAAAGAATGAAACTCTTCGTACGCAGTATGTAGACATCTTTCTACCAATAATTGGTCAATATAAAGCATAAATCCACTTCTGATCGCTCTTATAACATATTCTGTAAATTTATTCCCTCGACTGAAGGGTCATATGAAAAAAAAAGATAAGTTTGTATATATGTATGTGGGTGGCTGTCAGAGTCAAAGGTCAAAGGCCAAAAAAATATTGCCTTAAAAATTCAATGGTAGACGTTTTGAATATGTGACTTTCCTCTAATCAGGCTTTTCAGGCTGAAAATTCAGCCAATCAGAAACTTTCAATATGGGGCTTTCCACCAGCTAAAAAGTGTTATAAGGATTATGGTAGACTTCTTTACCGCAGATAATAGCCGCAAGTTTTTGTCTGATAAATCTATGTGTCTTCTTTAGTTTCGGCAGAATTAAGAACAGGAGGAAATACAGCCTTACACTTTTTATTTTTAGGGCTCATAAAAAGAAAAAAAGATATGAACTAATATGCCATGAAAAGCGAATTGAATGATCTTTTTTTTTTCCTGCAGTGTTTATTTTGAATATTTAATGTCCGAGAGCCTATTAATACACGAAGAAAAGGACACATCATACACAAAATAAGGAAAAATATAAGTGTAAAGAACAAGAACTGTACTATATCGCCACGCTGTACGCAAGTCAAACAGATGCAAT